GTGTGGTGTACTGCAGCTCACTCTGGGTGTGGATCTAATACAGGTTACTCTGTGTACTGGTGTACCACAGCTTACTGGTGTACTGTACCTCAGTGGAGTTGATCCTTCTCTCTAGCCCACAAACTAACTCTTGGCACTGAAGCTGCAGACTAGGGGCCATGTATCTTTGTGCTTGTGTTGTTGTTTACCTCAGACAGGGGTAATGAGAGTTAAATATTTGTCATAATAAAAGTAGGAAAAACCGTGGTCTCAGTGGTAGAGTGCTTGCCAAGCATGTCTGAGACCTGGCGTTCAATCACTAGTACTGGCCAAAATATTTGGGAAAACAGAGAAAACTTTTGTCTCACATGTGGTCTAATTTGCCTATTTAGACTTTTTTTTAGCTTTTCAGTTAATTAATTTATTTGTTTTTTGAGACAGGGTTTCATGTAGCACATGTCTGGAATCATTGTATAGCTGTGAATGATCCTGAACTCTTGACAATCTTTTCTCCACCTCCCAAGTGCTAGAATAATAGCTGTGGGTCACCGTGCGAGGCTCGCTTAGGATTCTTGCCATATGGGTGCTACCAGGCACTCTCAAGCAGCCAAGTTTGCAACCCTAGTTTAGATTATCCAGGTTCAAGGAAAACCTTCTGTGGCATATGTATCAGAACAAAGACCCAAGCCAACCCCATACAGCAGTGTCAGGAGCCCTTGGTAACCAGTCTTGGCATTCGGTGGCCTAGGCGACTTTAGGCATACCGAGACTGGCTGCTCTCAGGCCCTCTGAGAGCTGCACTCAGTTTGGCCCTCACGTCTTGCTTTTGTCTGGCAGTGTGGATGGAGGGGAACTCTTTGACCGCATCACGGATGAGAAGTACCACCTGACGGAACTGGATGTAGTCCTGTTCACGAAGCAGATCTGTGAGGGTGTGCATTACCTGCACCAGCACTACATCCTGCACCTGGACCTCAAGGTCAGTGGTGTGCCGGGCCTCGGCAGGTCCCTCCTGAGCATCCCGTGCCCAGATCACCAGGAGCTTCCTTTCCTGGCTCTGCCATTTCCTGGTTCTGGCATCTAGAACAGACCTGTTATTTTGCCTCTCTATTCTTGTTTGGGACTTATAGATAATTGTGCCTCTTTAAGTGTTGTTTGAATATTAAATAATACAGTAGCCTTTTTCTTTTGAAGTGTCTTAAAATTAATTTTTGGGTCTGGAGAGATGACTTAAGAGCACTTCCTGATTTTCCCAGGGACCTAAGTTCGGTTCTTAACATCCACATTGGGTAGCTCACAACCATCTGTATCTACAACTCCAAGGGGTTTGATACCCTCCTCTGGTCTCCACAGGCACCCACATACACATGGCATACACTCACACAGACACACCTCCATAAAAACAAACCTTTAAAATTGCTTTTTAAAAACCTCAAGGCCTGTGAGATGCTTGGAAGAAATGTTGCCAAGCTTGATGATCTGAGTTTGACCCCCAGGTCCCACATAGTAAAAAGAGAGAACTGACTCCAGCAAAGGATCCTGTGCCTTCCATACATACATCACAGCACATGAATGCACACGCACCCCTGTCCCACCCCCCAGACACACCCATATCCATATACCCACTCCTACACACACACACACACACACACACACACACACACACACACACACACACAGTCAAATAAATAAACAATGTAATTTAAAAAATAAAGTTCAGAGCCAGGCAGTGGTGGTGCACGCCTTTAATCCCAGCACTCGGGAGGCAGAGGCAGGTGGATCTCTGTGAGTTGGAGGCCAGCCTGGGCTACCAAGTGAGTTCCAGGAAAGGTGCAAAGCTACACAGAGAAAGCCTGTCTTGAAAAACCAAAAAAAAAAAAAAAAAAAAAAAAATTTAAAAAATAAAAAATAAATAAATACATAAAAAAATAAAGTTCAAGGGGAGAGTTCTAGAGGAAGTGGGGGAGGGTTAGGAAGTGAATATGATCAAAATACATTATAAACATGTATAAAATTGTGAAAGAATAAATAAAGATCCTTGGAGTGGCTGGAGAGATTGCCACACAATCATGGCGATCAGAGTTCAGGTCCCAGCATCCATATAACAAGCTGAGTGTTCCATACAGCACACCCTAGAGTAGTATGCCTGTAACCCCAGCACTAAGATAAGTGGAAACAGGATTGCTGGGCTTACTGGCTCCCAGAATAACTGGGGAAACAGGAGTCCCAGTTTCAGGGAGAGACCCTGCCTTAAAAGAAGACAGGTAGAGTGACAGAGAAGGATATCCAATGCCCTCTTCCAGCTCAGTGCATGTGCTCAGGAGCATGCATACACTCACACACAGATAAGCATGTAAAAGTATTATTTTTAAAGTTCAGGGGTTGAGGAGACTGCTCAGTGGGTAAAGTGCTTGCTGTAAAAACCTGAGCTCAGAATTCCACTATCTGGGTAAAGAGTATCATGTGGTATCTTATGTCTGTAATCTCACCAGAGACAGAAGATTCTGGGGTCAGCCAGTTTAGCCAATAGGTGAGCTCCAGGTTCAGTGAAAGACCCTGTCTCAAAAATAAGGTGAAGAGCAGTAGAGGAGGATGCTCATTGTTGACCTCCAACCACTACACATACAATCATACACACCCACACACAGATATGTACATACATGCATATACCGCACATATATACATGCATGCACACACACAGTTTAAAAGGGGATATATGCTTGTGGTAACAAGTATGGGCAACATAAAAATGTGTAAAATATGTTTTTCCCAACCAGTCTTCATAAACATAGGCCTTCTGTATGAGTGCCTTAGCACTACACAGGAACACCTACAAAGGGTCATAGGATGCATCCTGATTTACACTGTGGTGTGTGAGTATGTGTGTGTGTGCATAGATGTGCATATTCTATGATACACATATGCCACAATGCATTGTATAGAAGTCAGAGAGCAACTTTCAGGAGTTCATTCTGTCCTTCACCATGTAGTTTCCAGGGTCAAAGCTGGGCATCAGACCAGGTGGCAGGTGCCTTGACCAGCTGAGCCATTTCAGTAGGCTTGAGTCTTATTTCTTTTTCTTTTTTTTGTTTTTCGAGACAGGGTTTCTCTGTGTAGTTTTGGTGCCTGCCCTGGAACTCACTCTGTAGACCAGGCTGGACTTGACTCACAGAGATTCACCTGGCTCTGCCTCCTGAGTGCTGGGATTAAAGGCGTGCGCCACCACCGCCTGGCTCTGAAAGACTTAAAAAGAAAAATTTGTCAAGGCCACAATTTCAACCCTATGGGTCATAGTTATTACTGCTGACTTGCAGACATTGCCCTCCCCAAGATTTTGTTTTTAACTCTTTGTGTGAGTGTGTGTGTGTGTGTGTGTGTGTGTGTGTGTGTGTGCCCATCTGTCTGTCTGTGTGAGAATGTGCAGGTGAGTACAGTTTTCCATGGAAACAAAAAGATGGTGTCAGATCCACTAGAGTTATAGGTGGTTGTGAGCTGTCCAACATGGGTGCTGGGAAGAACCCAGGTCCTCTGCAAGAGCAGCGCATGCTCTTAACCACTGGGCCATTTCTCCAGCCCCCATGCCAACAACTGTTCCGTTTGTGCAGCTCATTTATTTTTATTATGTCTAGCCCCATATGACTACCCTAAGTCATTCGCTTCCCTTGGGTTCTGGGAGAAGGAGCCTATGAACAAATAAACGTGAAAGTTGTAGGTTTCCTTAGCCAGGGTAATAAGGATAAAATGTCTCCCCCCTTTTTCTCTCTTCCAGCCAGAAAACATACTGTGTGTCAACCAGACGGGACATCAAATTAAGATCATTGACTTTGGGCTGGCAAGAAGGTAAGGCTCCTGATATTTTGACAGAATCCCTTCTTCAGAGGCACCTACAGCTCTCTGGAATGTACTTACCTGTCTGAGATCTAGCCATTTTTTTTAGTTTGGAGATGGATGTAAGAAATTCTCACACAGAGACTGGTGGCCTCTGGCTTGCTGCTAATCCAGTGGGGTTACAGTACAGGCTCCATTTGTCCTAAAAGACTGTAGAATTAACTGTACTTCAAACCACCTGTGTGAGCAGAAGACCGTAGTTACCGGGGACTGCTGAACAGGGTTCAAGGCGGACTGAATTCCGTCAGTTCTCCATTCTGCTAGGGGCCAAGCTAGGCAGTACATTCACCGCCATCCTTGCACTCGGAGAAATCTCTAGCTTAATATGAAAACACGAATGTGAACAGGGTGGGGCCATGATAAGTAGATCTGGAGCCACTGAAGACTAGATTGGAATTTAGTACAGTGGTGGCATAATGACATTCTCGCTCATATGGAGAGAGTCACGAGGTCTAAATGGGATCTTACATGGGTAGTGCAAACTCCGTTAGGTCCTCAAGTTTCAGTACATTAAATGGATATTGTTTACAATTTAAATTTTTGTTACATTTATTTATGTCGGAGCAAAGAGGCACAGTGCGTGCTGTAGATTCTGTGTGGAGATCAGAGGACAGCTTCCGGGAGCTGGTTCTTTTCTTCATGTGTATGGGTCCTAGGAGCCAAACTCAGGTCATCAGGCCTGGCAGCAAGCACATTCACCCAGAGTATCTTACTGGCTCTTATATATAATCTTTTTAAAAGATTGATTTATTCTATTATAAGTATATGCTGTTTTGTTTGCATGTGTGTCTGCATAAAATATGTGGGAGCCCACAGAGATAAGAAAAGGATGTCAGATCCCCTGGAACTGGAGTTACATATAGTTGTGAATTTCCATATAGGTGCTGGGAACTAAACCTGGGTCTTCTGAAAGAGCAGCCCGTGCTCTTCACCACCCAGTATTTCTCTAGCCCTCCTTATATGTAATTTTATTTTTTTAGATTTATTTGTTTATTTTGTATATAGCATGTATGACTACAGGTCAGAAGAGGGCACCAGATCTCATTACAGATGGTTGGGAGCCACTATGTGGTTGCTGGGAACTGAACTCAGGACCTCTGGAAGAGCAGTCAGTGCTCTTAACCTCTGAGCCATCTCTCCAGCCCCATAATTTTTAAAATATCTTAAAATCCACAGAACCTAAAGTGCACACAGTTTTACTTCCCAGTCTTGACAGTCTCAAGCCCAGGACAGGCACAGCTGGAAGCATGGGTTCCCAGAAGAGGCTACAGAAATCTGTGGTGCTGTGGGATGGTCTGTATGTCAAATGCTCTGATTGGTCAATAAATAAAACACTGAGTGGCCGGTGGCCAGGTAGGAAGTATAGGCAGGACTAACAGAGGGGAGAAAGGACGAAACAGGAAGACAGAGGGAGTCACTGCCAGCCGCCACCATGACAAGCAACATGTGAAGATGCCGGTAAGCCACGAACCACGTGGCAAGGTATAGATTTATGGAAATGAATAAATTTAAGCTATAAGAACAGTTAGCAAGAAGCCTGCCATGGCCATACAGTTTGTAAGCAATGTAAGTCTCTGTGTTTACTTGGTTGGGTCTGAGCAGCTATGGGACTGGCGGGTGACAAAGATTTGTTCTGACTGGGCAAGGCAGGAAAACTCTAGCTACACTGTGGTATTTAGGAAGACTGCCCACCACACCTCCAGTCTCAGTTAGGATGCTAACTAAAACCGATTCTCTAGTTGTGTGCCATCCTCCAAACTTCCCTCCAATCTTCTTTCCTCCAGGAAGGACTCTTCTTTGGGAATCACACATTTTCTGGGTAGTTCTGAGTATAGTAACTGTCTTAGTCAGGGTTTCTATTGCTGTGAAGAGACACCATGATCACGGCAACTCCTATAAGGAAAATATTTAATTGGGGTGCCTTGTTTACGGTTCAGAGGTTCAGTCTGTTTTCATCATGGTGGGAAGCATGGCAGCACACAGGCAGACACGGTGCTGGAGAAGCCCTGAGAGCCCTACATTTTGCAGGCAACAGGAAGTGGTCTTTGACACCTCAAACTTGTTCTGCAGTGAGGATGACCTTGACCTTTGAAGTCTTGATCTTCCTGCCCTCCCCTCTTTAGTGTTGGGATTATAGCAAGTGCCACCATGTAGCTTTGTTTATCGGTTTGTTAACGAGACAAGGTCTTATTATGTGGTCCTTGGCTGGCCTCAGACTTGTGATCTTCCTTCTTCAGTGCTAAGATTATGTGTGTGTGCCTTTGCAGCCAGATTTTCTGTCATCTTGATGGCATTTCCCACAAGGAGCTGTCTTTGCTGCTTTCTGATTTGCCAAGTATCCTCCCCTTTCCCCACCATCCACCTGGAAGCAGAGCTACTTGCCTGCAGTTAACCTCTGGCTTCTGCTCCTGCCTCTAGGCAACATCCTGAACCACAGTGGCAGTCTTTTCTGGTCACTTCTCCACTGGTTAAAGTGATACCTATTTGCAGGAGTGAAAGATAAATTTTATTGCCCCCACATGCTGTTGCTATAACAGAAGTTTGTCACCCCACCACCTTCAGTGAACAATATGAAACCCCTCTACCCACACAGTTGAAAATCACATTCTATTTATGATGTAGAAACCTGTGCCGGGCTGTAGCTAGAGTTTTTCTGGTCGTGCCTGGCCCATGGTCAGGACAAATCTCTCTCACCTGTCAGTCCCACAGCCGCCTAGACCCAACCGAGTAAACACAGAGAGACTTATATTACTTACAAACTGTATGGCCTCAGCGGGCTTCTTGTTATCTAGTTCTTCTATCTTAAATTAACCCATTTCTATCAATCTATAAGTTGCCACATGGCTCATGGCTTACCAATATCTTACATGTTGGTACTCATGGCAGCGGCTGGAAGCGTCTGTCGGACTCAGCCTTCCACTTCCCAGAATTCTCTTCTCTGCTTGTCCTACCTATACTTCCTGCCTGGCTACTGGCCAATAAGCATTTTATTTATACAGAGCAATATCCACAGCACTAGGCAATGGTGGCTGCATGCCTTTAATTCCAGCACTTGGGAGGCAGAGTCAGGCAGATCTCTGTGAGGCCAGCCTGGGCTACAGAGTGAGTTCCAGGAAAGTCTCTAAGCTACCCATAGAAATGTGTGTGAGTAAGGAAGAAAGAGAGAGAGAGAGAGAGAGAGAGAGAGAGAGAGAGAGAGAGAGAGAGAGAAAGAGAAAGAAACCCTGCTTCATAGGTTCCTAAATAATGTCTCCTAAAGTTGAGATTATTTTGCATGTATTGCGCGTCTTCTACAAGAGAGTGGTGCTTTTCACCCTGTTTCTCTTTATCACCATTTGCCTCTAGCGGCCTTTTTAGACCTTTTCCATACTCACATTGTCCTCCATTCAGTGAAGTGCAGTGCCATAGAAGCACTGTGTATCTGGAAAAGCCGTAATAGCTAAACATTTTTTGATTCTCCAAAGCTCCCGCTTTGGATCCTTGTGGCATAACATTGTACTTAGTGGAGTGCGCATACAAGATTTGCAGGACACACTTCAATGCCAGTTGTCATATGAGCACTTAACAGTGAGACACTGAATTCAGAGCAAGAAGACGCTCGAAGCTTCACTAGAAGGTCCTGGTATGAGGAAAGCTTCTCTCATGGACAGGACTTGTCAGGTGCAGAGAGTGATATGCTGGCGAATGTTCAACTACCAGCTCAGAAGAGGAGGGAAGTGAGAACAGAGGGTTGACTTGTAATATTTTCCAGTTTTTATAAATTGATAAACACAATTAACTCTGGTGCTCTCTGAGAGCCAGAGCCAGTGTGAACAGGAGCTGTAGAGGGAAGTCAGGGGAGATGGCATTAGTTATGGCATGAGAACAAATGTGTGAGTGTGAGCATGCTCAACTAAGGAGAACAGAGAACACAGTAGAAGATGAGAACACACACACACACAAAAAAAGAAGACGAGAACACTAAAGAAGAAACTAGAATGTTAGGCTCAAAAGTTTGAAAGGCCACCGAATCTTACCACTCAGTAACTTCATTATGGTACCTTAAATCAGTATTATATCACCCAATTGGCAATTATTGCAGATCAAGTCTTAAAAAAATCTGGACAGCTAATTTTGAATATTTACCTACGAACCACTATTTGAGATAATTGAGCTGGCTCAGCATATATATATATATATATATATATACATATGTGTGTGTGTTTGTGTGTGTGTGTGTGTGTGGTGTGTGTGTGTGTGTGTGTGTGTGTATGGTGTGTGTGTGTTTTGCCTACATGTATGTATGTGCACATGTGCACAGTGTCCACAGAAGCCAGAAGAAGGCATTGGATTTCTTGGAACCAGAGTTACAAATAGCTGTGAGCCACCATGTGGGTTCTGGGAATCCGGGTCTTCTGCCAGAGCAGCAATCTCTTAACCACTGAGCCATCTCTCCAGCCCTTCAGTGAGGTCAGATATGCACCATGTTTCTCATTCTCTTCTCGTGGCAGTAACACAGGAGCAGTTATATCCTAGCTTGGAATCGACCCTGTGTAATTTTCCCCTCACATCTCATTGACTAAAGCAACTCCGATGGCCAGTCCCAGCATTAATGGAATGGAACCAGGTATTTCCACTTGTAGTGGAAGGACTATCACATCTCAGGATGCAGGGGATGGAAATGGGGTACAGGAAAGCACACATGTCTCCTGGATCCCTACTTTTAATTCTTTTGAAAACATGCTCAAAAGCATTGCTAGATCACATAATTCTATTTTTAATGTTTTGATTAGCTATCTCTCTGGGTTTTGTTTTGTTGAGAGAGAGTCTGTCATCCATGCTTGCCTAAGCTCATTGTAACTTATCCTGGTCTCACTCATCTCAGTCCTCATGTGTTAGCCTTTGGGGCATGAGAATCACAGTTCAAGACACCAACAGTGTCTGCTCCACTTCACATTCCTTACATTCCATAAAGGATCAGAATTCTCTACATTCTAGTCAACACTTGCTATAGTTTTTTTCCGTATGTATGTATGTATGTGTGTGTGTGTGTTTTAGTACTGTAGACATTTATATAGGTGCATATGGAACCACATTGTACTTTCGGTTTGTATTTCTCTAATGATTGCTGATGATGACTATGGTGTCTTTTCCTTACTATGATCCCTCTAGCACATTGTGCACACCAACAGAGTGCTCACTTTCCCGAAGCTCTGTCCCATTTGTTCGTACTCATTCATGTGGCTGCATGCCAAGCAAGATGTATTGGTCTCCTCTCATCTTCAGATTGTAAGTGGCCAAAAGGACCGTAGTTTTCTGGTCTACCACTAAATTTAAAAGGCTGGAAGGCATGTCTGAGGGTGCAATTATTCCCTGGGAAACTTTGTGTGTAGTATGAGTGTTGAGTTCAGGCAACATACTTGATAGGTAGGGTGGGGAAATGTTGCCTTTTAGAATCAGCATCTGCCCCCACACATTCTCTCCCATGGTACATTGCCGTCTCTCCTTTTTTCTCAGGTACAAGCCTCGGGAGAAGCTAAAGGTGAACTTTGGTACTCCGGAGTTCCTGGCCCCAGAAGTTGTTAACTATGAGTTTGTCTCATTCCCAACAGACATGTGGAGTGTGGGAGTTATCACCTACATGCTGTGAGTACTCAGGGACCTCGTTCTGGGTGGGGCTTGGATTAGCCACCTTACAGTTGGTACTTTTAGAAGCAGAAAATCACAATTTGGGAAGTGTTCTCAGGAACATTCATAGAGAAGCAGGGGAGTGAGACTGAAGAAAGGCAGTCAGCTGAGGGTGTGCCACAGCTGGATCTTCTAGATACTGAAGGAAAGTGAGGACATAGCTGTTCCTAGGTATGGTTGAGGAGGAGGTGTTAGTGCAGCTATGAGGAAGTGAACATCCAGAGTCGATTCATGCCTTTGAGTCATAGTAAAAGCCTGGGGATCCCAAGAAATGACTCTGGGTTAAAAGCATTAATAGTCTTCCCTCTGACCAGAGGGCTGGGTGTACAGACTGAACAGAGATGATTTCAGATGAGAAGCACTTTTAAATCTCTACTTAGAAGACAACCAAAGGGAATCTAGAATTTTGAGCTGTGACTGTGATAACAGTAGCAGGGTTCACCAGAGCTGGATCACTAGCTTGGCAGAACTCCACTGATTCATGTTAGAACTCTGAACTTCTGAAGTCTTAGTGTGACAATAACACAGAGAGGGAAAGACGTCAGAAACACTTCTCCCTTTTTGCACACCTCAGACCTTTACAGCTTGCATCGACTTTCTTAGACTCACAACTTACACAAATTTTAAACCTTTTCTTTTTCCATCTAATCATTTACCGTGAGACACAAGTGGTTGATTACTGAGAGCAGTCATTACAAAGCAAGTTCCTTTAAATAAAGGAAAAGTCTTTTTTTTTTTTTTTTTAAAAAAAAAGTATACTGAAGCCTGTTTTGTGAGTTTATATCTCTCAGTGTGAAGTGTGTCAGCAAGGTAAACTGTGTCTGTCTTTCTCAGCTGGAGACCTAGTAGCTCTAGAAAAGTGAAGCCGAATTTTACATATGAAATGAGTGGGGCAGGCAGCTACAGCCTTAGGGGGGGAGCTGGGTGCTTGCTGCTGTTCACATAAGGCCACAGTTAGCTGCCAATATTATCAGAGATCTGAGAAGGATAATTTAGCAGGAAGTATGATCCAAATGGCCTATGCATCGATTAAAATGACAATGACTTACTTCTACCTGGATGGTTTCCCTAGCCTCCCTTGGTCTCGATGGCTTCATTGGGGGCAGTGGTCATAGGTCACATAAGACAGCATAAGCTGCCAGACCCAGAAGGTCTCAGAGATTTTCCTGTGGAGGAGTGTTGTGCCCAGATTGTGACCCCCAGAGAGACCACCAAGGACGAGCATACCAGAATTCAAAAGCAAGGTTTATCTTTGTTACAAGTTGC